ATCGAAGAACTCGACGAGTTCTTAAGGGAAATCGGCTAGTTGAGTTGGGATTGTCCCGATTCTGTTGAAAAAGGAGAAACTCGACGAGTTGGATCGAAATATCACGATTTTGTGCTTAATGGAAACTCGGCGAGTCGTGGGATAACTCAACGAGTTGAGTCAACTCGGAGCATTGACTTTGACTTTGGCCAAGTTTGACCTTTAAGGAGTTTTGAAATATTGATCGGTATCTAAGGCATTGTTTCTGTTTAGGGGTTGAGCAGAGCTGTTTCCGGGGCCGGGGATTTATCCAGTTATCTTTCAGCATTCGAGGTGAGTTTCCTCACCAGGTTCTGCGGGTCGAAGGCACCAAGGTCGACCCTTGTTCGATTATGTTGTTGTACTTGTTGTATGTGTGATACTTGTATGTGCTTGTATTCGTATGACTATTGGGCAGGGCCCTTTATATGAGTGTGGGCGGAGCCCATATCTCATTTTGATCCGAGTGTGGGCGGGGCCCGTATCTCACTGGGCAGTGCCCGTTTCCGAGTGTGGGGGGGCCCGTATCTCACTACTATTGGAGTGTGGGTGGGGCTCGTATCTCATAATTGCTTGATATGTATGGTATGTGATATTTTGGGGGAACTTACTAAGATTTGTGCTTATGGTTTTTAGTTTATGTTTCAGGTACTTATGGTTCCAATGGGAAGAGCTCGGGATGACTGCATCGCACACACCATTAGGATTCTGGACATGATGTTTTATTCTGATTTTATGACAATTGATACATTGGTTATTATTTGAAATGTTTGGATGCTATTGGAAATCACTATTTTATCTATTATTAAAAACAAAATTTTTGGGACCTTAATTTTGGATGTTTAAGATGTATTTATCTCCCATTTTTATTTAATTGTTTTTAAAATTTAATACTTATTTATCTATTTTTGTAATTAAAAAAATAAGAAAGGGTCTCTCTCTCTCTCTCTCTCTCTCTCTCTCCAAAGCATCCAACATCCATCAATCTAAGAAACATTTTAAAAAAGCAAGATGCAGCAGTCTCTCAAAAGTGTAAGGATGTGTTTGATTTGCCTACTAACTATGTCCAAAGCTAGACCGGGTCCTTAATCTCTCCAAACCATCCAACATCCACCAATCTAAAAACATTTTAAAAAAAGCAAAATGCAGTAGTCTCTCAAAAGTGTAAGGGGGTGTTTGATTTGCCTACTAATTATGTCCAAAGTTAGATCTGGTCCTTAATCTTCAATCGTCATGTTTGTTTTCCCTTCTAAAACCTTGGACTCAGTTTGTTATTCCTCTTGATTCGGTCCGCAAGGAAAATGTGAAGGATTGTGAACAAAATCGTTAATCTCTAATTTGCCATACCTTTGCAAGACTATAAGACAAGGAAATGGAAGAAGATTCGCACTAAAACAGCTGGAATAAAAAGAGATAATGTGAAATTCACTTCAAATGCCCGAGTATCACTTGCAAATGATGTTATCTTCCAAGGAATAAAGTTGGTCATCACTGAAAACAAATTGAAAGATTGGCATTTGAAATCAACCAAGAACAACAACATTACATATGTATATGTTTCAAACACACCGATTTCAATAGGCAAACCTCAGTCAACAGCTCCTCAATTGTGCATATGTATCCATTTTAAACAAACAGATTCCAAGTAAATGAACAAAGGTGTGTAATCTATGGATCACAAAAAGAACTTAGAAGAAATCCCAATCTCAGAAAGAGGGGATTAAAATATGAAACTTGGTCGAAACACAAACTGTGTGAATTCAAGAAACTTTGTGTTGGATAGGAACAACAGCACAAGGTATTCAACAAGTGATATTGATAATAATGGCTATACTAGAAGGATTAAATCTGGAAAAAGCAACAACATAGGAAGAAACATAGATCTATAAATGGATTCACATGGTTTCAATTGAACTAAACTTTTTTGGTACTCTTACAACTTAAGTAGAGCATAAATTCGTAGAGCCTATTAATTTTCTTGTTATGTGCACAAAAATCAAAATACATAGTATAATATTTACTTGTCTTGTGTGTGGTCCTCTCTTTCAGTGATGAACAATAATACAAGTGTAAGTTTCTATGTGTTAGTAACATCCATAATTAATCCATAGTCCATACCCACAATTTGATCACGATTTTCTGGTATAGAAACTAGAAAGCACATCTGTCTTTTTACTGTTCTAAGATTTTAGAGTAAATTACACGGATGTTCCCTGTGGTGTGTGGTAATCTACGTATTTAGTCCCTAAATCTTTTTCTTAACTCGGACGGTCCCTAAAATGTATTTTGGTTGCACGTTTGGTCCCTGTATGACTTAAAAAGACTATTATGGCCTTATTAATTTTTTTCCTAATTAATTTTATGATTTATATATTTCTTTTATAATTAATTTTTTGATTTATATATTAATAAATTAAAAAAAACATTTTCCTAAAACCTAAGCAAGGTTACGATCTCCTTCAGCCCATTCTTCTTCTTCAAGACTTCAACTCTCCTCTTCGACTATCACCCACCACTTGAATCACCGGCACTTGTTGATATAGAATTGCCTGAGATCCACCGCCATTCTACCGGAGTCCATCACCACTGCCACTCTGCCGCCCACTACACACCCCACCTTATCATATCTCTTTTTATTTTCCTGAAATATTCATCGATGCCTCCTCTTTTCTCGCTGAAAAGCTACAAGCATTTCGTTCCTATTTTCTCGACTCAAGATCAATAATGAAGATGAAGAGGGTGGTGGTGGTTTTCCGGAGGTGAAGGACTAGAAGAAGAGGGTGCGTCGAAGGGTAAGCTACACTTCAAGCTCTGTCCATTACGTTTGATTTCATCTGATGATTCGATGGATTTGATTTTGCATCTCGATTGGAAAGGATTTTGATTTCATCTGAACTTTAGGTTAGGCCTAATTTTGATAGATTGGAAAGGGTGAAGCTGGAAAATGGATTTGATTTGATGGTTGGGCCTAATTTCAGTTAAGTGGTTGTCTCTTCCATCTTCGGAGTTCCCCCTCTCCGTCTTCGTCCTCTTCTCACCAGACTAACTCGACCCATGAAGTCTCCGATGATGGGGTGGTCGGAGAAAAGGACCGGACCAGGTAGGCTCAAAAGGGGCGTTCCCCCTCTCCGTCTTCGAGCTTTTCAGTTAGGGAAATGGTGGTTGCGTTTGTTAGAACTTTAGTTCAAGTATTGGGTTTCAATAAATTTTTTAGTGGATGATTCAAGAATTCCAGATTTCATTATTGGGTTTTGATTTGAATATTAAAACTTTAGCGAATAGGTAGAAATCAGGTTTTTAATTTTACGGGCTTTTTCCTAGTTGAAATGGAGGGTTGAAGTTGAACATTTGGGTTTTTCCGGCAAGGTAGGTGGCAGCCTTGCTGGACTGAGAAGACGATTGTGATGGTTGAGGTAATGAATTGGGGTTGGGTGGGTGGGTCCATTGTTGTAATATATATACATAAATTAACAAATCAAAAGAGAATTATAAATAATGATATATATATATAAATAAATAATCAAAAAAGAAATAGGTAAGGGTAATATAGTAATTTCAGGTCTGGAAGGGACTAAACGCGAAGCAAAATCAAACTATAGGGATGGTCCGAGTTAAAAAAAAATAAGATAGGGATCAAACGCGTAAATTACCCCAAACCACAGGGACCATTCGTGTATTACTAAAGATTTTATTATTTGGGAAAAGATGGACTCCATTACTTGAAAATGTAAGGGGATGAGCATGTATGTTTGTGTTTGTGTTTACATGTTATAAAACATAACAAACGTTTTTGAGCGATTAAAAGAAGATTTCAACACTCCGACACAAGAGACAACATAAGGGTAATATAGTCATCATTCATCATCACAATCAATTCAGTCAGAGATATAATCAAACAACATGGTTTCAGCCAGATGTAAACTCAATCAGAAGTTCTAACTCAGTCAGCACTAACTCAATCAACAACTATCAAACGACTCATATTTCTTTTCAAGCGATCTTAATAAAAGTACTTATGTTTCCAACATAAAGATATGTGTTCAACAGAGGATCGGTTAAACATTATATAAGCGAATGGTATCTTAAAACTTCGCGTATCATCAGCTTCAGAACTTTCAACTCAGAAAATTATGGCATTTGTTATCATCCCCGTGAAGTTAGGAGGTTAACCATTTTGTATTCACCCGAAAAAGGTATTGTTTGGGTAAATTTTAGACATTTTATTCGTTTATATGGAATGATATGGAAAAAGCAGTTGGTGCGTATGTTGAGCAATTACAAACGATGTTGATAGGGACAATACGTGAGTAGCTAGAATATGTTGGTTTTGCATCGGCGATGCATATTCATGGAAGAGTTAGAGATATTCATGGAAGATGGGAATGACGTCATGGGGAAGACATAGTTGTATGTCCGTAAAATGTAAATTTTAGATGATTTATAGATGTGTAGATGATTGATAGTTCTTAACTCGACCTTGTTTCCATTGTCGATCATTTTTTTTAATCTTAATATTGATGTTTTTTTAGACCAAAAAGGGCATTGCCTATTTAACATGTAATTATAGGTTATAATAAGTGTGATAACATAATGTAATTTGTCAGACAAAAAGAATATAATATTTTTTTCAGTTAGATAATATAATTTTTCATACAAATAAAATATAGTAAGATTACAATAAAATAATATTATCGGTCTTACAAAGAAAATATAATAATACTATGTTAAATGTGTCGACCAAATTAATAAATGTTTAGGACTTTGACAATAGTTTTAACATCTAAATGATTTTCTAAAAGATATTATTACATTTTAATTAAGTTAAGTGTGTTATGTTTATGAGATTATTCGATTATAATTTCTTTTTAAAATTGAAAATTACATAAAATGTTTTTGTAAGGACTCATGACATGGAGCTGATGAGTATAACGTTTAAAATGCAAGGGAGCATTATTGACAAAAGAGGGACAAGGGGGCGATGTGTAAAATCTAAAATCAGAGCAAACGGGCGGGAAAACATTGAACAACCAAAATCTCAAAACCCTAACTCTAATATCATTTTCGCGCCTCACTGCTCGGCTCATCTCTGCAAATTCTTACAAATCGATGACGGAAAAAACTTTCCAGCGTTTCTCGATCTGAAATCAAGTTCGTTAATCCTTCACAATCATCAAACCCTAATTTTGCAGACACGCTGAATTGTAGATCTGAAAAGTTTCAATGGAAAGTCGGCTGGTGCTATCACACGCGCCTGGTGAAGTTATTACCGAGCTTAGCACTGCCGACGCTGAGTTAGTGAGCAGATCATGGAATTTGTTCGCTATTCTGCTATCCATAGGGCGTCCAGTTCCTTCGATTGAATTGGCATCTCGATGCAGTTATCTTGACGTGTCACCGGAATTCATCGAATTCGTTTGCTCTATACCTAACTCCCCCCTCTCGTTGACGGATGATGGTCTGGTTACGGTTTCTTCTGCTGTTTGTATAGGTTTACAGCGGTTTTTGCTGAATTCAGGTCGAGTTTTTAAGATTTCGATTCCTTGGGAGATGAAGACTCGGGACTTTGAGCGCAAGAGAGCTTGGGAAGATTTTGAATTGACGTGTTCTCGAAAGCGAAGAAGATCGCGGCCTAATATTTCAGGTAATGTAAATACGATCTATTTAAGAGGAAAACCGATGTAATTTTTTCTTGATTTATCTTATTAATGCTTTTAAAAATGGTGTATTATGCAACAGAGAAAGCTGATCAGACGGATTTGTCGATGTCTGTTGGGATTTCAAATGCTTTTGAAAAGGTACTTCGTTTGTCTTTATACTTGTTAGATTTAAACTGTTCTTGAAGTGATCTTCAGGGCGTGCTATGAATAATCGTATCTGTTTATCATGAAAAGCATTAAAATAGTTTATGTTGGTGCATTTCATTAAATATTGATTGTAGATCCTAGTACGTGTCTGTAGTTTTAGCACTTTGGTACCTTTTGGATGTGAAATCGAACTTCCTATTTGCTTATTTTAATGGAAAATTTTGAAAGTTTCCAGTTCATGATTTTTACACCACTCGAACTCTCTTTTTATCCAAAATAGTTGACTTTAGTCAGTATCCAATTGCTTATAATTTTTCGTTTTGATAACAGCAATACGCCCATGGTGATGACCATACCTCAAGGAGTCTAATCATAACTAACGACAATACACCAGTTGAAGGTACATTTAATATGTCATCACTCATCAACTTTGATGCTGAACCCTTAACTTACGAATTAAACGACTGTAAACATGAAGATGAAAAGGAGTCGACTACAGTTTTGAGCATGAAAGAGCTTGCAATCCAGAATAATTTCCTCAATGGTTACATTTGTTTCCCTAGCCCTATTAAAAGGCCATCAAGAAAGCGTAAAGATTCTCTTCAGTTACAATCATCATCTCATCCAACTGAAAGACCAGTGACACGTTCATTGACCAAAAGGCATAGTAAAGCATCTTGCCAAGAAGATAAAAACAAGAAGGTAATCTCACTGTTGAAAACTTGGATTGAAAATTCAACAGAAAAACAAACACTTGTGATGGAAAGAGAACACAAATGTATCTTAGATTCTTCAATCCATGAAGTAAACATTGAAAATGTGCCAAATAATATTGTTCATGAAAGCATGATCCCTGAGCTCAATTGTGGAAACATAAACACTATGAACTGCAATGACATGGCACCTTGTTCTGACAATAAGGAAAAGGCAGTTTGCCAAGAAGTTGAAGAACAGAAGATAGTTTCACTAACAGATGCTGGAAAACTATGCATTAATGAAGCTCAAATGGATGATGTACAAGAGGAAGAAAAACCAATTTGTGAAAGAGAACAGTTAGTTTGCTCACAAGATACCGAAAACAATCTCCATGACAACAAACAATTGACAGCTGTTCCAAAGGATGCAAATTTGACAGTGCCAACAGTCTCTATAACAACAAACAATGAAAATGACCTCAGTGCCCCTACTGAGCAGAAGAATAGTAAAAAAGACAAGAAGTCAGCTCTCATGAAGCAGAAGTTAAAGCCATCTGGAGAACAGAAGATAGAAATTACTCGGAAACAGGAAAACATAAAAGAAAATAAGGAAAAGTGTATTGCCACTTCTGTCAAAGTGAGTTTTAGTAATCATGGTTTTAGCCTGATGATAAATTTAATTTTTAAGCTAAAACTTTTGGGTGCTTTATTTGCAGGGCAATTTGGAGCCAAGAGAAGTGCCAGTGTTTGATTCTTTCATTGTAGAGGAAGAAGAAGGTTCAGGTAATGAAAACAATAATGAATACTGAATTTAAAATTACAAGCTTAAAAGACTTTAATTTCATGTGAGAATTTACTTTTTCTTTTCTCTCCCTTTATGAAATACATAGGTGGTTATGGCACAGTCTACAAGGCACGAAGCAAAAAAGATGGAACAACATTTGCTGTTAAAAGTAAGGAGCTGAATGTTATCTATCTGCTTAATCTGTTAACTTAATATTTCTTGAAGCAATGCTGACCTGGAATTGTTGCATAACATTTTTGCAGATCCTCATGAAAATGCTAACAGAAACCATGTTTATAATGAATTAAAAATGCTGGAAAGATTCGGGTAAGGATGTTTTATAAATATTACTCAAAACAATCTTCTCTTTTTCTGTTACTGATACATAATCCAATTATATTTCAGGGGTAAGAATTTTGTAATTAAATACGAAGGCTCATTCAAAAGTGGCAACTCCCATTGTCTTGTTCTTGAGCATGTTGCCCACGATAGGCCTGAGGTGATCCCTTATTCCTACCTTCATTTTTTTTATCATAGCATTGTACTTTCATTTTTTTTTCTTATTAAGGCAATGTTTCTATTTCTTGCATTTAACTCTTGTTAATATCATGGGTAAATTACACGAATGGTCCCTATGGTTTAGGGTAATTTGTGCGTTTGGTCCCTAACTTATTTTTCTAACTCGAAAGGTCCCTACTGTTTGTTTTTGTTACACGCATGGTCCCTGTCTTACATAAAAAGTCTATTTTTCCCTTGATTTTTTAATTTATTTAAATAAACACACCCCCAACCTCACCCCTTCACCTTACCTTACCTACCCTACCCTTTTTTCCTTATTTAAATAATTGTCTTTTTACGTAAGATAGGGACCAAACGTGTAACAAAAACAAATAATAGGGACCAAACGTGTAACAAAAACAAATAATAGGGACCAAACGTGTAAAAATAACAAACAGTAGGGACTTTCCGAGTTAAAAAAATAAGTTAGGGACCAAGCGTGCAAATTACCCCAAACCATAAGGACCATTCGTGTAATTTACTCTAATATCATTAAGCTTTTCTTTCTTTTTTGTTAGGTCTTGAAGAGAGAAATAGATGTTCAACAACTCCGGTGGTATGGCTACTGTTTATTCAGAGCACTTTCTAGTCTTCATAAACAGGTAACTATTTTAATTTAAGCAAAGAAAATTTTCCCATATCAAGAATAATTATATTTCCGATTCTGTCCTCAGGGAGTAGTTCACAGAGACGTTAAGCCTGGAAATTTCCTTTTCTCTCTCAAGGCCTCCAAGGGCTATCTCATAGATTTCAACCTTGCAACTGTAAGTTATTCTTTGATAAAGCTTTCTTTAATAATATGATATTTAATTATTAACCAATAAAAAAATGTTTTTTTAACAGGATTTGCATCAGAAATTCGGATCCACAGGTGAGCTTCAATTTCCGTTCTCTCTAATAATTTACTTTTTTTTAACTTCATTTGAGAAAATTTACTGATTTAAATTATCTTTTTTTTTTCCACAGAAAAATCCAAGTTGAATAATGATGCAAGTTTTGGTCTTCCTCCTACAAAGACTAGAAAATACACAAGCTCCAAAGCTTTAGAACCAGTGACACACATAAAAAAGAAGAGTGATCAAATAAAGATGAAAAGCCAAGGTGCAGATGGTTCTGGAATAACCTCTACAAAAGACGCAACAAGCAACAGAATTCCATCAGCAGAAAGGCTTAGGGAGCCTATTCCCTCCACACAGAGAAAAGAACTTCTCAATTTAGTACACGAAGCATTACAGGGTCCCGATCAACCAATAACTTCAAAAAGAAAACGCGTTGCTGCCCCTCCAACAAAATCAGATAACAAAAAGCTTATATATCTCACTCCAATGCCACTACAATCCACCGGAATCGCGGTTTCCGGTGCCGGATTACTTAAAAACAAACAACGGAAAGAAGGACCGTGTGTTGGTACAAAAGGTTTCAGAGCTCCAGAGGTAGCTCCTTATATCCTAAATGCACCAGTCAGGTAACCTGACTGGTGCACTGGATGACCGGTGCATAAAATACACCGGTCATCTGTCATCTGTAAATGTTTAGAGATGAGATTCTGATAAAAGATTTTGATACATTGTTTAGGTATTGTTCAAATCAATGTACCAAGGGCCTAAAATTGACGTATGGTCTGCTGGAGTTACTTTGCTTTATTTGATCATTGGAAGAACTCCGTTTGGTGGTGATCCTGATCAGTGAGTATCTTGAGATCTTCATTCTCTGCAAAACTCCATGGTTGATTTTTTGTTGAAGTTTGTAAATTTGGAATTTTTTTAAACAGGAATATAAAAGAGATTGCAAAGTTAAGGGGAAGTGAAGATTTGTGGGAAGTGGCAAAGTTGCATGACCGTGAATCATCATTTCCACCGGTATGATAATGATATAAGGGCTTTTTTAAATTTTGAATTAAATGCAAGGACCAAATCTGTAATATAGTCTAAAAGTTATAATGTTGGATTCCTTTTTTTATTTAAAGTAAAGTGTGATATGTTTTGGGTTGCAGGAACTGTATCAGTTAAAATCATTGCCATCTGTGGAGCTACGAGAATGGTGTAAACAGAATACGAGACGCCCGGATTTTTTAATTCCAAAATCACTTATTGATCTTGTTGATAAGTGTTTGATGGTGAACCCACGAGCAAGAATAAGTGCAGAAGAAGCTCTAAGGCATGAATTTTTCATGCCATGCTTCAAGGACATTGAAAAGCACAGGCTGCTCAGGCAAAAGCCTTCTCAGCCTGTGACTTTTGAAGGTCTTCCATGAGAGACTTGTTATATCATCATAACATTAGGTTTTCTTAGGTCTTGCAAAAAAAGCATAGTTTTTGCAGTAAATCTACTCTTAACATGTTGAATTTCTTGAACCAAATGATTGTTAATATGAAACTTGACAGTTGACATAGGTATTTGGGTGGGTGTGTGTGTTTTAATTCTTTAAATTATATTACATTAATTTTTTTAATAAGATTGTTTTAGATGAATTTGAAATCAAAACTTCAACATTTTATCAGGGTTTAAATTATATTACATGCATGTAGCACTCACGGGCCGGTGTTTGCCATGGCACTCTGTAAAACGGCTTAATACACCAAAAATATGATAACCGACACCTAAGCTAAGCTGCTCACTTGCCATTTGAACTACAACTAACCTAAAAAAACTATGCCACAAAAAGCAAAATAAGTCTTAGTCGGTTCATAAATTTGATAGTATTAAGTTATAAGCAAAAACCAGTACATAGTTATTAAATCAAAGTTACTTATAGAAGCATATATATTCAAGTTTTTTCATAAGACCCAAAAAAGGAAATCTAATCCAAGTAGTCATCTCTAACCCTAAATAATAATATGTTTTTAACTTCAAAACAAATCAGGGGTGTCACATAGTATATTTGTAAAAGTGAAAACGTCCATGGTCCACCCTTTTATAGTTTTATATATAGGGGCTTGCAATGTTTTAAAAATTGGCTTGTTAGTTGAACCGGTTTCGGTTCAACCGTTGGTATACATTTGAGATTTGTGTGTGTTGGCTTTCGAGTTGTGTATACTCTAGATACCGTAATTGTTTAAATTATTCAATTTGCTTTGAAAATGAGTTGCTTTTTAAGGGGCTAAATGAAATCCAACTATCTAAGTCCAATAAACTCAGTTCAAACGGTTTTTATCCGTTCCATCACATCGTTTCAATCCGGTTTTTGAAGAAGCTGTCCAGTAAGATCTGGTCTAAAAGTTGACATAAAACTGGTCGTTGTTAAACCCGCTCTCATCCCCGGTTCACGGTCCGACTAGGTCAACTGGCAGGTTTGAACCGGTTTTTAAAATTTATATATAGAGAATTGCAATCCTCACAAACTTTAATTATTACTTTTATATATTTATAAATTTTAAAATTACATATATATATATATATATATATATATATATATATATATCCGTCTCAAACTATAAAACTCATAATTTAATTAATTTAATACTATATTGTTTTTTTTTTCATCAAAGTTTCAAAATTACATATGATTTTACTAAAATACCTTTCCCTAATTAAAAATCACTCCCTAATTCAAAATCAAGTCTCTCGTCTTCGAGCTATAGCCGATAACATCTTCAAGCTATAGTCGATAACAATCATGGGTTACCAATGAGGTGACCTCCATGAAATTCTCAAAAGCAAGCCAACAATGAAATTAACCTAAATTAAGTAGGGATAGGGGGATGCCGAGATAAAAATGAAGAAAATTAGTCTTTCCCTTTTGTTTTATAAGGCATTGAGGCTACCGATATTTAATTAGAGCATCCACAATGCATAGTTTAATGAGAAAGTTGAATGAGGTGACATGCCTAATTAGCATTCAATGGATTAAACTCTACCATTATGGGATGCCATGTTGGCATTCAATAGATATCAAGTTCAATAACCATTGACCTCTTCAATGGGAAAAATGAAACATTTTAACTATTAAATATATATTCAATTGAACTCTATTGAGTTCAATGCATTGTAGGAAAATTAATGTAGAGCTGTATAGTATGTAAAATAATGATGTGTTAATCCATTAAACTTTAATAAGTTTAATGCATTGTGGATGCCCTTAAAAAGATTTATGTTCCTTTATGAATATTACAAATTTATTTGTGTAGATTTAGTAGGCAAAAGATTTAATTGGAAACCATATCCCTATAACTTAATTACGTCTACAATGCAAAATAAATATATAAAAAAATTACTTAGCTACCTTTGCAAAACATCTCCTATAAATATGCTACATTTTTTCCCTTAAAAATCATCTAATCCAAATTCAAATACCAAAATTTTGTCAGATTTTATTTCTCCGACTACCATGGAATCCTTCTGGTCGTTCTTTGATCCACAACCACGGTCGTCTTCTCCCAAGATACCACCCCGTCAAATCTCTCCCGTAGTAAAGACTCATCTGAAAAAGGTCTATCCAATTCTCCTTAATTAAATTTTCTGAATATTAGTGTTTCGTTCAAGGAATATGTTAATTCTAGTATACATGTATATTTCGGTTTTGACTATTGGTTTGAAAAGTCTTGAAGTACTTATGCCTTAGTTGTCCATATATAAAAACGATTAGGATTTCCATCTTTTGCATTGCGGAGTCGATTGTCTTAGTAACTTAACTATCTTCCTATAATGATTATTGCAGGTTTATCTCTCACTATGTTGCTCTCTCATAGCATCTGCATTTGGTGCTTTTCTTCACCTCCTATTGAACATCGGAGGCATTCTAACCTTCTTCACAACATTAGTTTGCTTCTATCGGTTACTCACCACTCCCGTATATTCAATCATCTTAATCTTAACATTCTATCAATCTTGATTTCTTATATATTGATCTTCATGTCATTCTAAAACATCTTGTAATCCACTCACATTCCTAGAAAAGAAGATTCTCACAATTAATGACGTTTTCCCTTCTCCATGGAGTCACCCTTGGTCCTCTTATTGGCTTAGTAATAGATGTTCACCCAGGGTTCGTTGACTTCTTCTTTCCTTCTATTACATTTTACAACCTTCAACTTAATTATTACACATTCATGTTTCTTGATTCATATTTTTGGTTAAAATTTGCAGCATTTTGGTGAGCGCGTTCATGGCAACTGCAATCGTATTTGCTTGTTTCTCAGGAGTTGCCATGTTGGCAAGACGAAGAGTGTTTATTTATCTTGGAGGTTTTCTTTCCTCTTGATTTTCAATCCTTGTGTGGGTGGTTTTTGCAGCATTAATCTTTGGTGAAAATGTTGCGCTCTTCAATATTGAGGTAAAAAGTTTAACTAATCATGTTTCATTCTTTATTGTAAGTTTTTATAAATCCTTTTCAAACTACTAATTAGTGTTTAATTTGCTTTTTAGTTGTATTTTGGGCTGTTGGTGTATGTTGGGTACATAGTGGTTGACACCCAGGAGATTATTGAAAGAGCTCATCTTGGAGATTTGGATTATGTGACCGATGCTCTATTGCTTTCTGTCAACTTTATTTCTGTATTTGTTCGCATTCTTATCATCATAGTGAGTTTTGATTCCACTTAAATTGTTTTTTTTGTAAGGTTATATTGTGGATAAGATTTAATGCTATGTTATTGTGTGTGTTGCAGTTGAAGGCAATAGAAGAGGATGAGAAGAAGAAAAATAAAGAGAGAAAGGATTAGAGTGTTTTTGATGATTTCATGTGGTACATAGTTTGTTATTTATTTATTTATCTATTATTATTATTATTATTATTATTAGTAGTAGTAGTAAATTAGAGATTGGGATTATTACTTTTAACGAAGTGACTGGATGTAAAGTGTAAACAAATGGTTGGACTATTTTGGATGTAATAATTATTATTTGCAACAGGATGCTATATATTAAAATTAATCGTTACGTTTAAAACACGATAACATATTAATAAAAGCACGGTTACAATTATTTGCTTATAGTTGTGAAATAATATGATTTTAAGTTTTATTATACCAAATAAGATATAACACAAATTTGTAAAAACTAATAAATAAAACAGGTGTTATTGAAAATTTACATAAGTAATAAAATAAGAATAAGTTTGTGTTGATTTTCTAGATTGAGATATACTTATATACATTGTATGTTATGTGACTATGGGCTATGGGTTTATATCTACATATAACAAATCAAATATATGAATGTCATTACAGAAAAACAGCCCAAGAAAATGTTATGCATATGAAATGTACAAGTCTGTGTAGTTGAAAGTACACACACCATGAAGCATCAACTATTGGCTCTATCTCATAGCTTCCCAAAAACACACAACATATATAGCATCAACAACCAATAATATTTACATCATCATGCAATACATGCATACTCAATCATGAATCATGATAGAGGGTCTGAAAAAGAAGCTGTACGCTTTTTGCCAAAATCAAATGAATAATTAGAAAAAATATCTAAAAAGATTTTTTTTTTTTAAATAATTCGGTCCAAACCGTTTTTTACCCGGAACTGGCCGGACCAATTTTGATCAGTTCCTAGAACTGAGAACCAGCCCGGGGGCCAAAAAAAGGGTTCAGGTCCAGGTCCAGGTCCAGGTCTACAGCTCCAAATGCTCACCCATAATTCATGCAATGCTAGGGCTAGACTCAAAACAACAAATCTGAAAGACTTTTATATAAGTCTTTCACAATTACACGGATGTTCCTTACTTATATGATTCTTTCCTTTAACAATTTTGTTAGGGTTTGTTTAACTGTTGTTATGTCCATTAATCCAAAATCTACTGATGCCACTGTAGTCATGTCCTGATGTAAACAAATTGATTAGGGATTGAATTGAGTAAAAACGGTTAACCAATGCCTAAATCAACCAGAATAGTTCGGATTAGAATTATCATGTGCTTGACACAATCAACTGAAATCTTATAATTCAGTTTATCTTCCTATATACTTGCAGGTTTACATCTCCCTGACTTGCGCTCTTGTAGCATTTGGATATGGCGCTTGCCTCAAGTTCCTGTTGAAGTTGAACAATGCAAAAATTATAGACTTTCAAGATATAAAATATGCCCAAATCTTGGTTTTTTAACATTTTATAATCATTTTAAATTCTTATTTTTATCGATTGATAATTTGACATAAATTTAATTTAAATTTAAGTTTATAATATCATCTATACCCTTTATAAACTTTCAAAATATTATATTTACCGAAATTATTAGTTTACTCAAGTTAAACAACTATTTCCATGGAACAACAAATCATATTTACTTTATGGAACATATAACCATTGCAGTTGATGGTCTAACTTCTTTTAATCACATACTGGTATTTCGTATGTCTGTTTAACATTGACTTATTGATAGGGATCAACATACCCCGTTTCTTAAAAGAATGATTTTTATTGAACCATTACCTCCAATTACCCCAATCATACCTAGACCGGAGTTCTCATTTTGAACGTCATATGTATAAACATGAGGTCAAGAGTTCAAGTCCTACTTGGGACATAGGTGGCATTAGGAGTAGATTAGATTTTTGTTGTTCCAAAAAAGGGGATAAACTTCTATAGAGACCTCACATTGATGAAACGGGAGACATTATGATTCCTTTCATTCCAAAAACATTCTACAAACCAAAAGCAAAAGCCATTGAACTCCATTCCATTTCATGTAGACTAAAGTATGATGTACTTTATGTTGCAAGATCTGTATCAATTAAAATTATTGCCATCTTTAGAGCTTAGAGAATGGTGTAAACATAATACGAGATGCCCAAATTTCTTAATTCCAAAATCACTTATTGATCTTGTTGATAAGTGCTTGATGGTGAACTCACGAGCAATAATAAGTGCAGAAGAAGCTGTAAGGCATGAATTTTTCATGCCATGCTTCAAGGACATTGAAAAGCACAGGCTGTGACTTTTGAAGGTCTTCCATGAGCAAGAATTGGGGTTGTTTGGAGAGTTACTTGAAGACATTTTGTATGTAAAAAGATCGAAAGATGAAAGAGAGTTTAGGTTGTAATTGATGTGGTAAAAATGAAAAAAATGGATTGATAATCATATCGGATAAAAAATAAATAAACAAATTTGAAAGTAAACGGTCAAATGGAAAGAAAATGGAGAAAGTGATAAGTGGGTGTTGAATTCGGCAACTATATGTAGTATGCTCCATGCCGCAGTCATGGGCTGGCGTTTGCCATAGTAGGCAAGCTCCGGCTAGACATGCTGAGTTGCTTGCCGTGTCGATTTCGTAAAAGCCTAATACAACAAAAATACGATAATCGACACCTAAGCTATAAGCTACTTACTTGCCATTTGAACTACAACTACCTTAAAAACTATGCCACAAATCAAGATAAGTCTTAATTGGAAAAATTCTTCTTTTTGGATCACTTCTATCACGAGATGGTGCTGTCTCGTTCCGATAAAAGTAAATGTTTTCGTGTGTCGTCTTTTGTTGAACAAAATTCCTCTTAGGTTTAATGTTTCTTACAGAGGTATGGAGATTAAATCGATTTTATACCATATTTGCGAGAAAGAGGTGGAGAGCTTTTGTCATCTTTTCCTTGGAAGCGACTTGACACTTGATTTGTTGCATCTCCTTGGTCACTGGTAGAATTTATCAACACCATTTTTTCATTTCTTTCCTTGATTGGATTAACTGGTTTGATCAGCGGATCTCCAAGATTTATAAGTTGTTTCTGGAGGTGGTTTTCAATACTTTGTGGTGGTCAATTTGGTGTTTTCGAAATTCTTTGGTTTTTTGTAAAGTCAAGCCAAAAAAATGTTTATTGTTTGATAATGTGGTCTTCCAAAGTTTTATTTGGGCTACTAGTAAGTGTCGTAAAGCTAGTGTCAGTTTGGTAGTTCGGTTGTCTAGTTACATGAAATTATTTTGTCTATTTCCTCCATGTAATTGTTTGTTTGGTCTAGCTTTATGTTAGTTTTTTTTTTTGCTTTTTTTTTAAATTCTACCATTCTAAAAAAGAGTGTTAATTGGTTCATAAATTTGATACAAGTATAAGTTATAAGCAAAAACCAGTAAATATTAAACCAAAAC